AGAGAGAGGGGGGGGGAAAGAGAAAGAGAGAGAGGTGTGGGGCAAGCAAGAGAGAGAGAGAGAGAGAGAGAGAGAGAGAGAGAGAGAGAGAGAGAGAGAGAGAGAGAGAGAGAGAGAGAGAGAGAGAGAGAGAGAGAGAGAGAGAGAGAGAGAGAGAGAGAGAGAGAGAGAGAGAGAGAGAGAGAGAGAGAGAGTGTGAGTGAGAGAGAGAGGGGAGGGAGAGAGGGGTGAAAGGGAGCTAGTGAGAGGGGAGAGGGAAGAGTGTTAGCTGGAAGAGTGTTAGCTGGAGGAGAGAGAGAGGGAGGGAAAGAGAGGAGTGGTGACCGTCGGTATAGTATGGTTTGTATGGTCACCCTTCGCCACGGTGTCAGATCCTGTTTGTGAGACGTGTGTGTGCGTGCTTACGTGCGTGCGTTGTGTGTACGTGTGTACTCACCTAATTGTGCTTGCAGGGGATGAACTCCTGCTCTTTGATTCCGCCTCTCAACCGTCAATCAACAGTTGTACAGGTTCCTGAGCGTATTGGGCTATCATATCTACACTTGAAGCTGTGTAAGGAGTCAGCCTTCACCACATCACTTCCTAATGCTTTCCATTTGTCAACAACTCTGACACTAAACAAGTTCTTTCTAATAAATCTGTGGCTCATTTGGGCACTCAATTTCCATCTGTGTCCCTTAGTGCGTGTGCCCCTTGTGTTAAATAGCCTGTCTTTATCTACCCTATCAATTCTCTTGAGAATCTTGAATGTGGTGATCATGTCCCCCCTATATCTTCTGTCTTCCAGCGAAGTGAGGTTTAATTCCCGTAGCCTCTCCTCGTAGCTCATTCCTTTCAGCTCGGGTACTAGTCTGGTGGCAAACCTTTGAACCTTTTGCAGTTTGGTCATATCCGTGAATAGATATGGACTCCGTGCTGGGGCTGCATACTCCAGGATTGGCCTGACATATGTGGTATACAAAGTTCTGAATGATTCCTTACACAAGTTTCTGAATGCCGTTCTTATGTTGGCCAGCCTGGCATATGCCGCTGATGTTATCCTCTTGATATGGGCTGCGGGGGACAGGTCTGGCATGATGTCAACCCCCAAGTCTTTTTCTCTCTCTGACTCATGAAGAATTTCCTCTCCCAGATGATACCTAGTATCTGGCCTCCTGCTCCCTGCGGTTATCTTCATTACATTACATTTGCATGGGTTAAATTCTAACGACCGTTTGTTCGACCATTCCTTCAGCTTGTCAAGGTCTTCTTGAAGCCTTAAGCAGTACTCCTCTGTCTTAATCCTTCTCATAATTTTGGCATCGTCAGCAAACATTGAGAGAAATGAATCTATACCCACCGGGAGATCATTTACATATATCAGAAACAAGATAGGACCGAGTACAGAACCCTGTGGGACTTCACTGGTGACTTCACCCTAATCTGAGGTCTCACCCCTCTCCGTAACTCTCTGCTTCCTATTGCTCAGATACTCCCTTATCCACTGGAGCACCTTACCAGCTACACCTGCCTGTCTCTCCAGTTTATGTACCAGCCTCTTATGCGGTAATGTGTCAAAGGCTTTCCGAAAATCCAAGAAAATGCAGTCCACCCAGCCTTCTCTTTCTTTGTCACCTGGTCGTAGAATTCTATTAAGCCAGTCAGGCAAGATTTACCCTCCCTGAATCCATGTTGGCGATTTGTCACGAAGTCCCTTTTCTCCAGATGTGATACCAGTTTTTTTTCTCACGATCTTCTCCATCACCTTGCATGTTATACAAGTCAAGGACACTGGCCTGTAGTTCAGTGCCTCTTACCTGTCCCCCTTTTTGTATATTGGGACCACATTCGCCGTCTTCCATATTTCTGGTAGGTCTCCCGTCTCCAGTGACCTACTATACACTATAGAGAGTGGCAAGCAAAGTGCCTCTGCACACTCTTTCAGTACCCATGGTGAGATCCCGTCTGGACCAACAGTCTTTCTAACATCCAGTTCCAGTAGGTGTCTCATGAACTCCTCACTCGTAATTTCGAACGCTTAAAAGGCCGCCTGGTTTACGTCCCTTTCTCCTAGCACAGTGAGCTCACCTTGTTCTATTGTGAAGACCTCCTTGAACCTCTTGTTGAGTTCTTCACTCACCTCTTTGTCATTCCCTGTATACCTATCCTCGCCTGTTCTAAGTTTCATTGCCTGTTCTTTCACTGTAGTTTTCCTCCTGATGTGACTGTGGAGTAGCTTTTGGTTCGGTCTTGGCTTTGTTTGCTATATCATTTTCATAATTTTTCTCTGCTTCTCTTCTCACCCTGACGTACTCATTCTTGGTTCTCTAGTATCTCTCTCTGCTTTCTGGTGTTCTGTTATTCCGGAAGTTCCTCCACGCTCTTTTGTTCAGTCCCTTTGCTTCCATACATGCCCTATTATACCATGGATTCTTCTTTTGCTTCTCGAATTTTCCCTTTGGGATTGGATGAACTGTTTAATGCCTGCTGACACTTTTGGGTGACATAGTCCATCATATCTTGTACAGACTTATCTCTGAGGTCTGTGTCCCAAGGTATTTCGTTCAGGAAACGTCTCATCTCCTCATAGTTCGCCTTTCGGTATGTCAGCCGTTTGTTTCCTAGTTCTTTTTTGGGGGAGATAATTCCTAGCTCTACCAGGTACTCCAATTTTAATACACTCACCTATTTGTGCTTGCGGGGGTTGAGCTCTGGCTCTTTGGTCCCGCCTCTCAACTGTCAATCAACTGGTGTACAGGTTCCTGAGCCTTTTGGGCTCTATCATATCTAGACTTGAAACTGTGTATGGAGTCAGCCTCCACCACATCACTGCCTAATGCATTCCATTTGTCAACCACTCTGACACTAAAAAAAATCTTTCTAATATCTCTGTGGCTCATTTGGGCACTCAGTTTCCACCTGTGTCCCCTAGTGCGTGTGCCCCTTGTGTTAAATAGCCCGTCTTTATCTACCCTGTCCATTCCAATTCCAACACACTGTGTGTGTTCGTGCGTGTGCGTGTGTGCGCGTACGTGTTCGTGTGTGTGCGTGCGTGTACGTATGTGTACGTACTTACCTAATTGTGCTTGCGAGGGTTGAGCTTTGGCTCTTCGGTCCCGCCTCTCAACTGTCAATCAAGTGGTGTACAGATTCCTGAGCCTACTGGGCTCTATCATATCTACATTTGAAACGCCCTTCTGTGAATGGAGTCAGCCTCCATCACATCACTTCCTAGTGAAATCCATTTATTAACTACTCTGACACTGAAAAAATTCTTTCTAACGTCTCTGTGAAAATGTTAGAGAGAAAATATTTAGAAAAGTTAGAAAAACTTTAGACAAAATATTTCGTTAGAAAAAAAGAAAATTAATCTGTGGCTCATCTGGGTAATAAGTTTCCACCTGCGTCCCCTTGTTCGTGTCCCACCCGTGCTGAATAGTTTGTCTTTGTCCACCCTTTCAATTCCCCTGAGAATTTTGTAGGTGGTTATCATGTCTCCCCTTACTCTTCTGTTTTCCAGGGTTGTGAGGTTCAGCTGCTTTAGCCTTTCCTCGTAGCTCATTCCTCTCAGTTCCGGGACGAGCCTGGTGGCATACCGCTGAATCTTATTTAACTTTGTCTTGTGTTTAACTAGGTATGGACTCCAGGCTGGAGCTGCATACTCCAGGATTGGTCTTACATAAGTGGTATACAGGGTCCTGAAAGATTCCTTACACAAGTTTCTGAAGGCAGTTCTTATGTTGGCCAGTCTAGCATATGCCGCTGATGATATTCTTTTGATGTGGGCTTCTGGGGACAGGTTGGTGTGATATCAACCCCCAGATCTTTCTCTCTATTTGACTCTTGATTTGGTTCCGCCTCTCAACTGTCAATCAACTGGTGTACAGGTTCCTGAGCCTATTGGGCTCTATCATATCTAGACTTGAAACTGTGTATGGAGTCAGCCTCCACCACATCACTTCCTAATGCATTCCATTTGTCAACCACTCTGACACTTAAAAAATTCTTTCTAATATCTCTGTGTCTCATTTGGGCACTCAGTTTCCACCTGTGTCCCCTAGTACGTTTGCTTCCCTTGTTTTAAATAGCCCGTCCTTATCTACCCTGTCAATTCCAATTCCAACACACTGTGTGTGTTCGTGCGTGTGCGTGTGTGCGCGTACATGTTCGTGTGTGTGCGTGCGTGTACGTATGTGTACGTGCGTTTGTGTGAGTGTGTGCGTACTTACCTAATTGTGCTTGCGGGGGTTGAGCTTTGGCTCTTCGGTCCCGCCTCTCAACTGTCAATCAACTGGTGTACAGATTCCTGAGCCTATTGGGCTCTATCATATCTACATTTGAAACGCCCTTCTGTGTATGGAGTCAGCCTCCACCACATCACTTCCTAGTGAATTCCATTTATTAACTACTCTGACACTGAAAAAATTCTTTCTAACGTCTCTGTGAAGATGTTAGAAAGAAAATATTTAGAAAAGTTAGAAAAACTTTAGACAAAATATTTCGTTAGAAAAAAAGAAAATTAATCTGTGGCTCATCTGGGTACTAAGTTTCCACCTGTGTCCCCTTGTTCGTGTCCCACCCGTGCTGAAGAGTTTGTCCTTGTCCACCATGTCAATTCCCCTGAGAATTTTGTAGGTGGTTATCATGTCTCCCCTTACTCTTCTGTTTTCCAGGGAAGTGAGGTTCAGCTCCTTTAGCCTTTCCTCGTAGCTCATACCTCTACGTTCCGGGACGAGCCTGGTGGCATACCGCTGAAACTTATCTAACTTTGTCTTGTGTTTAACTAGGTATGGACTCCAGGCTGGAGCTGCATACTCCAGGATTGGTCTTACATAAGTGGTATACAGGGTTCTGAAAGATTCCTTACACAAGTTTCTGAAGGCAGTTATTATGTTGGCCAGTCTAGCATATGCCGCTGATGATATTCTTTTGATGTGGGCGTCTGGGGACAGGTTCGGTGTGATATCAACCCCCAGATCCTTCTCTCTATTTGACTCTTGCAGGATTGCACCTCCCAGATGATGCCTTGTGTTCAGCCTCCTGCAACATCAAGAGCAGTGCTGAGTCCTGCAACATCAAGAGCAGTCCTGGGTCCTGCAACATCAAGAGCAGTCCTGGGTCCTGCAACATCAAGAGCAGTCCTGGGTCCTGCAACATCAAGAGCAGTCCTGGGTCCTGCAACATCAAGAGCAGTCCTGGGTCCTGCAACATCAAGAGCAGTCCTGGGTCCTGCAACATCAAGAGCAGTCCTGGGTCCTGCAACATCAAGAGCAGTCCTGGGTCCTGCAACATCAAGAGCAGTCCTGGGTCCTGCAACATCAAGAGCAGTGCTGGGTCCTGCAACATCAAGAGCAGTCCTGGGTCCTGCAACATCAAGAGCAGTCCTGGGTCCTGCAACATCAAGAGCAGTCCTGGGTCCTGCAACATCAAGAGCAGTCCTGGGTCCTGCAACATCAAGAGCAGTCCTGGGTCCTGCAACATCAAGAGCAGTCCTGGGTCCTGCAACATCAAGAGCAGTCCTGGGTCCTGCAACATCAAGAGCAGTGCTGGGTCCTGCAACATCAAGAGCAGTGCTGGGTCCTGCAACATCAAGAGCAGTGCTGGGTCCTGCAACATCAAGAGCAGTGCTGGGTCCTGCAACATCAAGAGCAGTGCTGGGTCCTGCAACATCAAGAGCAGTGCTGAGTCCTGCAACATCAAGAGCAGTGCTGGGTCCTGCAACATCAAGAGCAGTGCTGAGTCCTGCAACATCAAGAGCAGTGCTGGGTCCTGCAACATCAAGAGCAGTCCTGGGTCCTGCAACATCAAGAGCAGTGCTGGGTCCTGCAACATCAAGAGCAGTCCTGGGTCCTGCAACATCAAGAGCAGTGCTGGGTCCTGCAACATCAAGAGCAGTGCTGGGTCCTGCAACATCAAGAGCAGTGCTGGGTCCTGCAACATCAAGAGGGAGAACGTCTGGAGTTGCAGGTCTACGATCTTGAGTGGCAGGTGCCGCAGGTGTGGCAGGTGCCGCAGGAGGTGTGGCAGGTGCCACAGGTGGTGTGGCTGGTGCCGCAGGAGGTGTGGCAGGTGCCGCAGGAGGTGTGGCAGGTGCCACAGGTGGTGTGGCAGGTGCCACAGGAGGTGTGGCAGGTGCCACAGGAGGTGTGGTAGGTGCCACAGGAGGTGTGGCAGGTGCCGCAGGAGGTGTGGCAGGTGCCGCAGGAGGTGTGGCAGGTGCCACAGGAGGTGTGGCAGGTGCCGCAGGAGGTGTGGCTGGTGCCGCAGGAGGTGTGGCTGGTGCCGCAGGAGGTGTGGCAGGTGCCGCAGGAGGTGTGGCAGGTGCCGCAGGAGGTGTGGCTGGTGCCGCAGGAGGTTTGGCAGGTGCCGCAGGAGGTGTGGCAGGTGCCGCAGGAGGTGTGGCAGGTGCCACAGGTGGTGTGGCTGGTGCCGCAGGAGGTGTGGCAGGTGCCGCAGGAGGTGTGGCAGGTGCCGCAGGAGGTGTGGCAGGTGCCGCAGGAGGTGTGGCAGGTGCCGCAGGAGGTGTGGCAGGTGCCGCAGGTGTGGCAGGCGCCGCAGGAGGTGTGGCAGGTGCCGCAGGAGGTGTGGCAGGTGCCGCAGGAGGTGTTGCAGGTGCCACAGGAGGTGTGGCAAGTGCCGCAGGTGTGGCAGGTGCCGCAGGAGGTGTGGCAGGTGCCGCAGGAGGTGTGGCAGGTGCCGCAGGAGGTGTGGCAGGTGCCGCAGGTGTGGCAGGTGCCGCAGGAGGTGTGGCAGGTGCCGCAGGAGGTGTGGCAGGTGCCGCAGGTGTGGCAGGTGCCGCAGGAGGTGTGGCAGGTGCCGCAGGAGGTGTGGCAGGTGCCGCAGGTGTGGCAGGTGCCGCAGGAGGTGTGGCAGGTGCCGCAGGAGGTGTGGCAGGTGCCGCAGGAGGTGTGGCAAGTGCCTCAGGTGTGGCAGGTGCCGCAGGAGGTGTGGCAGGTGCCGCAGGAGGTGTGGCAGGTGCCGCAGGTGTGGCAGGTGCCGCAGGAGGTGTGGCAGGTGCCGCAGGAGGTGTGGCAGGTGCCGCAGGAGGTGTGGCAGGTGCCGCAGGAGGTGTGGCAGGTGCCGCAGGAGGTGTGGCAGGTGCCGCAGGTGTGGCAGGTGCCGCAGGAGGTGTGGCAGGTGCCGCAGGAGGTGTGGCAGGTGCCGCAGGAGGTGTAGCAGGTGCCGCAGGAGGTGTGGCAGGTGCCGCAGGAGGTGTGGCAGGTGCCACAGGAGGTGTGGCTGCCTGGGAGTGTGAGGGAGTGAGGCGAGGTAGTGTGTGTTGTGGGGCGGGAGGCTGCGACACACACCTCACAGCGAGCCCTCCTCTATCTTCACTCAAAAGAACCCTGTTTTGCCTCATTGCGGCTTTATGCTCCTTCTTTACTTGGCTAGCGCGTAGAGCTCTTGTCTTTAGAGCCTTCTTCTTGTCCGATACTCTAACCATTGTGCAGTAGATACGACAAAATACGATCTACAGGACGATCTGTGAGAGCGCGTCAGGGATACGACCACCTGCACAGACACAGACGGGTGACGGAGTCAGGTAATTGGCTTATCCTCCCTCCCTCCCTCCCTCTCACACAAGACTGTTACCAATGAGTGAATTTATAATTTGTATATGCATAACAAGATATTTTCCACTCTATTACGAAATACTAGACGCTTACAACGTATGACGCATCACCCTACGGCGCACCCGAGCCGCAAGGACCAGATTTGGGACAATTGTGGCTGGAAAATTTACTCTAATTACGTTATTTATTATCATAACATTAAACGGTTTGCACCACAATGTTGCCAGAACGTTGTAGTATTTTTATAATTTTTTCAGAAAAATTCGTATTTGGGCGATTTTTTTCATCTAATGCCCCCCTAAGTACTCCCTTATCCACTGGAGCACCTTTCCTTTTACTCCTGCCTGTTGCTCCAACTTTTTTAACAGTTTTTATGGGGTACTGTGTCAAAGGCTTTCTGGCAGTCCAGGAAAATGCAGTTGGCCCACCCTTCTCTTTCCTGCCTAGTTTTTGTTGCCTGGTCATAAAATTCTATTAAACCTGTGAGGCACGATTTACTATCTCTGATCCCATGTTGGTGGTGCCTTACAAAGTTATTTCCCTCCAGATGCTCTACGAGCCTTTTCCTCACGATCTTCTCCATCACCTTGCATGGTATACAAGTTGAGGAAACTGGCCTTTAGTTCAGTGTCTCTTGCCTGTCACCCTTCTTGTATATTGGGACCACGTTAGCTGTCTTCCAACTTTTTGGTAAGTCTCCTGTTTCCAGTGACCTGTTATACACCATAGAGAGTGGCACACTTAGGGCTTCTGCACCTTCCTTTAGTATCTATGGTGAGATTCTGTCAGGCCCAACAGCCTTTGTCACATCCAGCTCCAGCAGACACCTTTTGACCTCATCACTGGTGAGGTCAAATTCCTCCAAGGTTGCTTGGTTTGCCGCTGCCTCATTTAATGCAGGGGCTTCTCCTTGTTCTATTGTAAAGACCTCCTGGAATCTCTTGTTGAGTTCTTCATACACCTCCTTGTGTATGAAGGAGGTGTATGAAGAACACACCAGAAGAGGTGTATGAAGATTCACACCTCCTCTGTGTATCTGTTCAGCCCTTTTTGCAGTTTCATCACTTGTTCCTTCACTGCTGTTTTCCTCCTTATGTGGCTGTGGAGCATCTTTGGTTGGGTCTTGGATATCTCGCGATGTCTTTTTCAAACTGTCTCTCTGCTTCCCTCCTCACTCTGAGGTACTCATTTCTGGCCCTCTGGTATCTCTCCCTGCTCTCCTGTGTTCTATAATTTCTGTAGTTTCTCCATGTTCTTTTACTCAGTTGCTTCGCTACCTTGCATTCCTGGTTGAACCATGGGTTTTTCTGTTGTTTTTCGTTTTTCTCCTTTTGGACGGGGATAAACCTGTCTGCAGCTTCCTGCCACTTCTGGGTGACAAAATCCATCATGACCTGCACATTCTTGTCTCTAAGTTATGTTTCCCATAGTATTCCCCTGAGGAAGTTCCTCATCTTGTCATATTTTCCTCTTCGGTAATTTAGTCTTTTTCCCTCCGATCCCATCCTTGAATAGGTTATCCCTTCCTCCACCAAGTACTCAAAAGTCAGTACACTGTGGTCACTCATTCCTATGGGGGATTCAACTTTGACTTCCCTTATTTCTGACTCATTCAGAGTGAATATCAAGTCGAGTCTAGCTGGTTAATCATTGCCTCTCACCCTTGTGGGTTCCTTGACATGCTGGCTCAGAAAGTTCCTTGTTGCCACTTCCAAGAGTTTAGCTCTCCACGTATCTGCACCACCATGTGGGTCCCCATTCTCCCAGTCTATCTTTCCATGGTTGAAATCGCTCATGATTAAGAGTCTTGAGCCATTCCTGCAGGCAACTGAAGCTGCTCTCTCTATTATATTAATGGTTGCCATGTTGTTCCTATCAAACTCCTGTGTGTGTAGGTCTTCTGTCATTTAAGGGAGGGTTGTAAATGACTGCCACTATTAACTTAGGTCCACCCATTGTTATAGTTCCTGTTATGTAATCTCTGAATCCGTCACAGTCCAGAATTTCCATCTCATCAAAACTCCAGTCCTTCCTTATCAGCAGGGCCACTCCTCCACCTCCTCTCCCTTCCCTCTCTTTCCTTACTATATAGTAGTCCTTTGGAAACACAGCATCTGTTATGACTCCTGACAATTTTGTTTCCGTGAGTCCTATTACATCAGGGTTTTCTTCTTGCGCCCTTTCTGCCAGTTCACTTGCTTTATTGGTAATCCCATCAATGTTTGAGTACATTACCTTGAAGCTCACATTCTTATATCCAATTTCACCCTCACTCCCCGCAAGTGTAGGAAGTTGTTCCATGGTCATTGCTACTTGGGTAGGCTCATCCTCCTGTGAGGTAGTTGCCAGGGTTCAGGGGGAGGTGGAGTGGGGGATGGAGGGCTTAGGTCTTTGTCAGGCCTGCTTGGGGCAGGAAGAAGTCCTGGGGGGTGAGAGGGGCAGGGATTGCTTGAGGAAAGGGCACGCCTTCCTGCGGTGTAATTGACAGGGGTTTGGGGGAGGTGGAGTGGGGGGATAGAGGGATTTGGTCTTGCTCAGGCTTGCTTGGGGCAGGAAGAAGACCAGGGGCTGGGAAAGCAGGGGATACTTGGGGTAAGGGGAAGGGGGAGGATTTGGGTTTCATGATGGGCATTGTGCAGGGGCAAGGAAGGGTTTATGCTGGGGGATAGGGTGATAGGGGAGCCCTATTGGGTGGTGGGCTGGGGTGTTGCATTCCTCCCCTGGGGTTCCTGAGTTGCTGGATTGGGGTTCACCACTCCACTCTGGGATTGCTGGGTTGGAGGCTGAGGTTCCCTGGCTCCCTTCCCTCTCCTTGCGTCTTTTCCTTGCATCTGCTGCCCTTACTATCTCGTCTCTGGTCATATCCCTCTGAACATGTACCTCTTTGTAGTTCCTTGCATGCCTCAGTTTGTTCTTCTTTACTAGGATGTCCTCTTTGATGACTTTGCTCTTGAATACTACCTTGATCAATCTCATTTTGTCTCTGTTGTACTGGCCAATCCGGAAAAACTGTTCTATATCTCGTTCAGCCCCTTCCAATCCTATCTTCTTTAATATCCCTTCCACTGCAGCTTTGTCTTTAGTCCTCGATTCCTCCCTCGTGGAGCCCTCTTGTTCCTTCATACCTACCACTACTACAAATATTTTCCTTTCCATTAGCTGGCTTGTGCATCTAGCTGCCTCCTGTGAGGTTACTGCTTTCATTACAACTTCCTTGACTGTGGACATTGCTCCTGGGCTCTTCAGCATTTCAGCAAAGGTTGGACCAATTGTAGGGGTTCCCTGCCATTGCTACATCTCCTGGTACCTGGGGTTAGTTGCGTGGGGCAGAGTCTGATGAGGGCCTGTTTTTAGGCTTTTTTATCTCCTCTTGCTCTGTACTTAGTTCTATCTACAGCTTACATATA